TAAATCAGTTAGTAATAAAATAGGCTTTAAAGAGATGTGGTTTGCTGTAGAGCCTCTAGGGCTTAGTGGTGGGCTGTTGGTTTTGTGAAAAAGGGATGTTCTTGTTAAGAAAATCTTGAGCAATAGCTTTTGTATCCAAGTGCAAGTGGGTAATCCAGGGGGTAAAGAGGATGTGTGGATAGTCTTTGTGTATGCAAGTACTTGTAGGAGGAGAGAGAGGAGCAATGGAAATTTTTGGTGCAAGCTAGTAGTAGTTGGGGTAACAAGTGGGTTTTGGGGAGAGATTGGAATGAAATTTGTGATAATAGTGAGAAGAGTTGGGGTAGAAGAAAGGCTGAGAGAGAATTCATTGATTTTTTAGAATGGGCATGCAGAAGCTGCACCAAGTTGGGCACAAATTTACATGGGGCAATAACAGGGAAACTGAAGGTCTCATTGAGGAGAAGATTGACAAAATATTTACGTCCTTTGACTGGCTTGAGGAAAACCAGCATGCAATGGTGGAAAACTTTTTAAAAAGTTCCTCTGACCACAGGCTTCTGTTCTTAAATGCAATCCTCAGAATTTCAAGCAAAAAGGAAGGAGGTTCTTCTTTGATAAACAATTGCTCAAAATGAAGGGGATTAAAGAAGCTATTTAGCAAGGAGAAGATTAAAGCAATCTGGCACTCCTATGTACCAATTTTCTGATAAGAAAAAGCAACCAGTGTGGCTATATTGAAATGGAGCCCAACATTCAGGAGAGACCAAATTAAATAGAAGCATGCTATCACTCAAAGGCTTGAGGAGATGAGTACCCTGAGTAAATAGGGATTGGGCAATGTGGCACAGATTACAAGGGGAGCTAAATAAGATCACTAGAGCTGAAGAAACATTTTGGGCACAGAAGGCGAGATCTCAATGGCTCAGAGAGGGAGACTCTAATACCAAGTATTTTGATGCCATTACAATACAAAGAAGAATAATGAGTGAAATCTCGAACTTGGTAGATGATCAAAACCAGGTGTACTCAAATGAAGATGACATCACTCTCCATATATGCAGGTTCTGTGATCAGCTATTCTGGTCAGGGGGTTCCATTGGGGAAAATGAGGTTTAACATCTTATTCCAGAGATTATCACTGTTGATATGAATGCTGCCAGCACAACTCCTGTTACAAAAAAGGAAATAAAAGAAGCTCTCTTCAGTTTTGACATTGGTAAAGCACCTGGCCAGGATGGTATGAGCGCCATCTTCTTTAAAAAATTTTGGACTGTGATCTGTGATGATTTTTGTAAGGCCATCCTTAGTTTTGTTTTTGAATCTGGTAAACTCCTCAAGAGCTGGAACTACACTGTCATCTCAGTAACTCTTAAATGTTTGAACCCTTCAACTTTGAAGCAATATAGGCCCATCAATTTATGTGCAGTGGCTTACAGGGTTAATGCAAAAATTTTTATCTTTGAGGATCAAACCTTGCTTATCTAATCCTACCTATGCCGAGAGCACTAAGATCATACTAAGAAATGTATTAGTGAGAACCAAGCTGCTTTTATCCCTGGAAGACAAATGCTAGACAATGTAGTGATTATTCAGAGTGTCCACTTCCTCAACAGGCACATCTCAAGAAGAAAATACTTTATGCTCTTGAAGTTGGACATGGAGAAGGCCTTTGACTGCATTGAGTGGAGAGTGTCAAGAAGGTCATGCTGAAAATGGATTTTAACTCTGCGTTTATTAATTGGATTTGGGCATGCATCTTCTCCACAACTTTCTCTTTCAATGTCAATGGAGAATTGAAGGGCTATATCTCAGCATCAAGGGGCATCAGGCAAGATGATCCTATATCACCATATATCTTTATTATTATTTCTGAGGTGTTTTCTAGACTAATTAAGGATGAAGAAAGAAGGGGTTCTTTCAATGGTCTTAAAATTGCAAAAAATAGTCCTGCTGTCTCTCACTTGATGTTTGCAGATGATACTTTGGTTATGTGTGAAGCCACTGAGAATCATGCTAGAATTCTTATGTCTCCGCTGCTTAAATATTACAAATTCACTGGTCAAAGGGTAAACATGGAAAAATCTTTTATCTTCTTTAGCAGAAATTGTCTGCCTGTGCACAAAGGTAGAATATGTCATTTGTTAGGAGATATCCAGCCTCATAGATCTACTAAATACCTAGGATTGCCACTAGGTATTGGTAGATCTAAAAATGAGTCCTTTGACTAGATTCTCAAGGCACTTAGAGACAAGCTGATGAGCTGGAAAATCAGTTTCTTTCAAATGCTGGAAAAGAGGTTTTGGTTAAAGTTGTGCTTGGTGCTCTTCCTGTATTCTCAATGTCTTGCTTCTGCCTTCTAAAAGGCATATGTCAAGAGATTGCTAGGCTAACAGTAGCTTTCTGGTGGAGCGATGGGGATTTGCATGGTGGGATTCACAAGAAAAAATGGATTATGCTGAGTTTGCCTAAGAATGCTGGTGGTCTGGGATTTAGGGATGTGGAGTTGTTCAATGAATCACTCATTCTCAAACAACTCTAGAGAACGGCTACACACCCCAATCTTCTCATGACCAGAGTTCTTAAAGGTAAGTATTTCCATGACTGTTCCATCTTGCAAGCTAAGAAACCTTATAATGTGTCTTGGCTGTGGTGCAATTGGATGAGGGTTAGAGACAAATTTCAAGATTGTTTTAGGGTGGAGGTTAGGCAAGGCAGTCATATAAATATTTGGCATGATC